ATATATATATATATATATATATATATATATATATATACATATACATATACATATATATATATATATATATATATATATATATATATATATATATATATATATATATATATATATATCTAATATATAAAAGGCCATGTGCGCACTTCTCTCTCTCTCTCTCTCTCTATCTCTCTCTCCCTCTCTCTGTCCGCAAAATATTTTCGCAGGGTATCACATTAGAATCTTCCGCGATATATGGAGAACTTGATACGGACTTTTGTTGAAATTAATATGGTAGATGTTTTAAATGTATTACCAACATTTTATTTAAAGAAAAAAAATAAAGGCATATTCGAATGTAGAAAAACAGATTTAATTATGCAACCGGAAAAGTGTTTATATTTGGGAAAAGAACGCCGAAATCCATGACGTCACCTGTCATATGTTTGAAGTATGGAGACGTCACAAAACCTATGGCGTCATCTTCCAATTTTAGAATACAAAGAAATGAACTACCTCATTAAAATTTGATTTAGATCTATAGATTTACTTATCGAGACGTCATTTATGAAAGTTATACAATTTCCTCGGCAAAAACTAAGACAAATTACTTTAAAAAACAACATAAATACCATTGAAAAGCCGGGTTTTTAACGGAATCATTTAAGACTTATAATCAATGTGTGCATTTAATATGGTGTAGTGTTGACTAATTATGTATATCATTTGGTTTTATTTTTTCTAATAGGTATTAGTAGCCTTTGTCATTTCAAATGTGTCGTACTTTAGTTAAGCTATTTAGTTATTTCTTTGCATTGTCACTAATATCGTTAAACTTGTACTAAAGCACATTGCGTTTTGACCAATAAATATTTAATAAAATATTCTTCTAAAAATATATAAGATTAAAAATATATAGACCAATAATTCACGTGTAACGGGTACCGATGGCTAGTATATATATATAATATTCTTTAATCATATTTTTCTTTTATATTGATTCTGTTCAGAAAATTTTAATGAAAAATGGAATAAATTAACAAATAACTGTCTCTAACTAGTCAAACCAGACATAACCGGACTCGCAGAATGTTATCAACTAAGTAAAAACATTATTAAAAACTAACTCAAGAAATATTAAAATCACACAATTAACCCATATCTGATTATACAGGTAGCATTTCTCATCTCAAAACTAAACAAAGCTTATGTGTTTAGAATACCTCATAGTTATCAAACAAAACTATTAGTAGTTTATTTACGTTTTGTTTTCAAAACGTATAAAATAATTGAACTTACAGTCCATGCAATAATCACCGTATCTGTTTGGTACACACGTTTTACAAACTCCAGTGAATTGACAGTCTTGGTCCGAACAGGTCATGCTGCAAATTTCGCCACAGCGTCTGCCGTACCTTCTTTTCGTACACTCTATCATTAAGTGTTACATAAAACGTGTTAACAATATGCATAGTATAGCATAGCGTAGCATAGCATAGCATAGCGTTTAAAGTATAAGTTAAAAAGCAAATCTTCAACACATTACTAAAATCGTACAAAGCGAAACAATGTATAGTTACCACCAAAAACCTGAATTCCACACAGTGATAGTATACTGTTTGTCTTCAAATCAATTTTCAAAATAGGATTACTTGTATCAATGTTTAATACGTGAATGATTGAAGACTGATGAATGGCTCTAAAGAAAACTAACTCGAAATCATCGTCATACATTTCCACAGTAAAGTTTTCCATTGCTGTGTATAATTCACCTACACATAATAATGAAGAGTAAACTGATTATTGGAAGATAGGAAAATGTTTGATATACCTTTATTATCAATTAATTTCCAGCTGATAAATATAAATGTTTTATGATTTTTGTTTTGCTTTCTTTTTTTAATTTTCAAGTTTGTATAGAAATGTTAGAGAAAACTAAAGATGAAAGAACAATTTGAAGAACAATGTTTTACCGTCGAATCGATATTAATTAAACAATCAATAAATATTCGTCAATCCGTCCAGTGTTTCTTTCAGAGTTTTTTCTCTTTAAGGGGGGGGGAGGCGGACACAAGTGAATGTATGAATTTTCTATAATAACTAGATTTCACTCGGGGGTGCTAGACGTGCTTCGGGGTTGGGGGAGGAACGAAGCCACGAAGAGATGCCTGAAAGAAACACTGTATCCTTTAATCCATGCAGCCGTCCAATCGGTCAGATCCGTCCAATCTGTCCAAATTATACGAACTAGCGTACCCGTCGTGTGGGTGGCTGCTAACTCAGAAGCATGGCTGACGCAACATTTTGAAAGCATTGCATCAAAACGGTATATATATATATATACATATATATATTAATTATGTATACATACATATATATATATATATATATATATATATATATATATATATATATATATATATATATATATACATATATATATATATATATATATATATATACATATATATATATTACTTATGTATACATATATATATATATATATATATATATATATATATATATATATATATATATATATATATATATATATATATATATAAAACCTATGTTTGTCTATAATTGCCGTTTAAAGTATAACTAATAAAATGTACATAATATATTAGTTTTCCTACCGCTAGTATGTATTACAATTTGGTAGACCACACGCGGCCATTCAAAGCTTGATTCAAAGCTTATTTGATGCCCAGGATTTTCTATATCAAAACAATCATCTCGGTCGTCTTCATCAATATATGTTATGTTGGTACTTTTGCCGTCTACACGAATGGCTACTGTCGCTTCTTTTATAATATCTCTTCCTGTTTGGAAAAAAAAACTTAAAAAATGTATACTACATGACAAAATTTCTTTTAAACAAAAACCCATTACAATTTAATTTCGTATGTATAATACTAACCTCCGTTTACTATGACTTGACAAATGTCAACCTCTAAATTGAAGACAATTGTACATTCAGTTACAGTCGATTTTATTTTGCATTCCACCTCGGCGGTCGCTTCTTCAACCCAATATAATATATGCGTCTTACATTTGCTTACACTTCCGTTACGCAAAGTGTTGAACATTGTTGCTGTCAAATTACTTTCTGAGACAAAATGTAACACATTTAAAAAAAAGAATTTTCTAATTTCAAATGATCTTCAAATTTTGATGAGATCATTTTTAAATTTCTGAATAACTCGGCATATTTAGATATCAAATGACCTCACGGACAAAATATAACAGGGCAAAATATATATGGATAAATGATACCATGCACAAATGATCTGAGACCAAGTAAATAAATATTTTTTATAGTAATTAAAATGAATTAAATCGATTAAAACAATTTTTAAAAATGATTTTTTTCATTTGCTTTTTATATATTTGTTTTCTTACGCATAACAATTGTGAAAAATATACGTAGCAAGGTGGAAAACACAACTATAATTTAAAGTCAATAGTGATATTTCGATCACACTCTGGGGATTACGTGACAATTTTTTATTTGAACGGCAGTGGTCATTGCAGAGCAAAGTTAATCATAGTGTGCGTACCAACAAAGCAGTATTACTGGTGGTCACAAGCTATGGCATCTTTCTTTACATCGCAATAAGGCCTCCGCACTTTTAAGATGTAAGATTTACTATAGACAACAACCAGCAAAGAAAATTTACCGTTACATTTGTGTTGATGATGCTCAAAAACATAACCTATACATTACGAACCTGTAGACCCAATCACTTTTTAAAACTGTTTCATATGTTTTCAACATTACTGCGTCCAAGGCTTACATAATTTTATTTGTTATGCACTGTCATGTCCTAAACATTTCATATGCAATGCTATATTTAAATAAACCGGGAGTGATCTCCCCTAAACTTTCTCGAATATTCTTATACAACTTGGAATATAGACATGATTTGTAATTACTTAAACTTTTAAAAATAGAATAGAATCTCATAATAAAAAGAATTGCACACCAAGCGAATGCCAAAACCAAAATGTGCATAAAAGTGCGCAATATTATAGTACTTTTTAAATTTACATGCGTTTTTTGAGGAAACGGAAATAGCGTAAATTAGTACTTCCCGTCAATTAGATCTTTTACTTACATGTGAAATTTCATTTATCTCTCTGAAATAGTATTCAAGTAATAGGCTTTTAAAAAATTCAAAGTAGAAAAGGTACCACTTCTGGTTATGGGAAATCGCTCCAAAGTTGATTCATATCCACGATTTTAATAAAATACTTATATATGAAATGTCATCAACCTATCTGTAACGGTACTCAAGTTATCGTGTTTACACACAGACACACAGACAGACAGACACACAGACATACGGACAAGTTTGCAAAATTATGTTTCTCCTTATCAGTGAGGTGTAAAACGTCGAGATTTGTAAAAATCTCGATTTTTTTTTTGCACGATTACAAGACTTTCTCTATACTTCGTATATACGAGAAAGTAAAAATGTAGTTCGACTCGTTCATTTAGTACATTTCACGGTGTGTAAAAAAAATCTGATTGGTAATTAAAAAAAGAAATGTTAACTAAAATCCTCGTAAATGCAATGAATATTTTGATGTGAAATATTTTGTCGAAGATATTTTGTCTGGCATCATTAAATTTTTTCCATGGTATCATTTGTTCTTATATGTGTTGTCCTGAGATCTTTTGTACGTAAGATAATTTATCCTTAAGTTAATTTGTCCTGAGATATTTTGGTTGAGATCATTTAACGTGAGACCAAATATAGCACGGCCGTGTGCCTAGATATGGGTATAAATGCAAGTGCACTAAGAAATATATATACATATATATACATATACATATATATATATATATATATATATATATATATATATATATATATATATATATATATATATATATATATATATATATATATACACGTATAGTGTGATTTTCTCACAAAATACAAAATAAATCTGTTATTTATATGAACTACCTTTTTTATGAAGAGTAATTCTTATAGAAATAAAACTCGTTTCATTTTTAAATTTTAAGTGTAATAAATCCGTTGCAGAACATTGGCCGTTTTCTCGTTTAAATGGGCTCATTTCTTTTGTCAAGAGTATTAGATCTCCTGTTTGTTTATATATATATATATATATATATATATATATATATATATATATATATATATATATATACATATATATATGTATATATATGGATATAGATATAGATTAGATTAGATATAGATATAGATATATAATTCATCACAGTATATTTAAATGTTAAATGATGTGATCGAAACCAAATCATAGAATTTTTTTAACAATGTTAGCATTGTATCTAGTTTTGTAGGTTGAGTTTTAATACTTATTTTTCTGGATTTAGTTCGCTTACAATACTTACTGTAATAACATCCCGGTCCAAACCAACCTTCTATACAACCATGTTCTAACGCTGCAACAGGTGATACATGTCTAGTATATTTTATCCTAAATTATCATTAGTATTATATACAGACTGTAACATTTAAACTCAAACATTTTTTTCAACTAACAATATGTTTTAATTCATGCAATCCTATAAAAGCATTGTTTTTCAATCAAATTTAAAATATTCTTTGAGATGTGTAAATCTAGATCTTATAATTAGTTTTATTTATTCAATACAACTCAACTTAATGCTAGAGTAAAAGAATCCTACAGTACGTTATCAGATCAATTTTTATAGTCATCAGATCGATGTTATCATTCATAAACAATGGATTTTTTGCATTTTTTTGTTAAGTTAAACTTTGATTCTGAATCTTAAGCATACATGGACTTTACTTTTTCAAGAATTATCTTACATAAGAACGAAAATCTTTTATAGTTTGTTTTCATTAGATAGAAAATCTATCGTAGTCTGTTTGAATATAAATATCCTTGACATTGCAAAGTTTTTAAAAAAATAATGTATTTGGGGAAGTAGTATTTACTTATGCATCTACCGGGAACTGTCCAATTTTGATTATCTTGGCACTGGATTGTTTCATTCCCTTCTAATTTATAGTTTCCTTTACATTTTAATTTACATGTGTCGTTGTTGCAATATCTCCACACACCATTGGCTACCTTTTGTGGTGTGTTGCATAGTTTCTCTGCAAAACAAAAACTGATATTAATAAAATGTAACTGTTAGTCCCAACTCTAAAATAAAGAAAGAAATGAGAAGAAGTAGAATTTTTAATCAAAAACGTAATGCAAAGTAATTCTTGAGCGTAAGCCTCTACGGCGAATATTAAATTGAAAAAAAACGATAAATGAAGTACGACTACAAATTTCACAGGTACGCTGTGCTTTCGCGATACATGGGTTTCCCAACTGTGCTTTGTCTTAAATAGGGTTTCACCCATTTTGAAATAGTAGCTGTGAAAACTTCTTCTTTCTGCATCGTTCTTAATTTTTTAGTGTTGGAAGAGACCCCCTCAACACATTTAAGTATACGTATAAACCGGTATAAACGTATAAACCGGTTATGCGCCTTTACTTTTAGGATTTTCTTTATCCAACCAAAACTTTGTCCAAACTACAAGGCAGCAGTTGTTTGATTTTGGAGCTAATGAGCCTCATTTACCGGTGTGTTCGAACTCGAGACCTTTTGGTTTAGTAACCATGAGCTTTACCGACTCGACCACGCCAACCCTTGCTGTGAAAACAATGAAAGAAATACTTCCTGATGCTCGTTCAGCATGTAGTTGCTTGCGTCTTTCTCAAATCATAAAGTCGTGAGAACATAAGAGGTGAATGTATTTGTTTTCATTATTTTTCATAGTATTTTGTACTAGAAATCTCAAGAAAGAATGAATGTATGAATGTATTGATTACTTGAGCATACACCAGGCATCGTCCACTCTTTATTATCTTGGCAGGTGATGTTGTCGTTTCCTTTAACTTCGTAGCCGTGTTCACAGACCAGTGTACACACGCTACCAGTCTCATCTTGACAATGATGCCATGTTCCATGTGTTACGTTGGGAGTAGTGCTACATCTTTTCCCTGTTAAGTAAACTCTCTATTGTCAAAACACTTTTGATAATTTTAAACTACTGACATCAAACGCAGAAATAATTTAGCTACAAAATACATAATAATAGAAGTCAGTGGCGTCGCTAGGTTGGGTGTCACCCGGCGCGGCACTTCGTGTGTGTGTCTGTGTGTGTGTGTGTCGGCCTACATAAGCTTATAATTTCAATATAGGCCGCATAATAAATTCTTTAAAAAAGCATTCTCTTCTGTCAATTTTGCAATTTTTTGCCATGTTGTCACTCCCTAAATTGTGTCACCCGGCGCCGTCCGCACACCCCCCCCCCCCCCGCCCCGCCCTCGCTACGCCTCTGATAGAAGTTTATGTATTTGTTTTCATTATTTTTCATGTTATTGTCAAAACAAATATGGTGATTTTAACTCCTGCTATAAAATGCAGAAATAATGTATCTACCACATACATAATAGTAGAAGTTTAAGTTTTTGTATTCATTACTTTTCATGCAGAAATAATGTATCTACCACATACATAATAGTAGAAGTTTATGTTTTTGTATTCATTATTTTAATTTTATTTTCTTAAATATAAATCTCAAATTGAATGAATGCTTACTTGAGCACACACCAGGCATTGTCCACTCTTGATTAGCTTGGCAGGTGATCGTGTCGTTCCCTTTAACTTCGTAGCCGTGTTCACAGACCACTGTACACACGCTTAGAAACTCGTTTTGACAATTGTGCCATGTCCCGTTTGTAATGTTGGGAGCAGCGCTACATCGTTTCTCTTTTAAGTAAACATTTACTAAACTGTTAGTGCATTGATAATATACAAAGCTTTTTTTAAATTATCAGGAAATATTTATAAAGCTATAAGGACTATAAGAATGCTACTAACCAAAATGTACACTATGTAAAATTATTATTAATGAAGTAAAATATTTTAATGATGCCTTTTAAGAAGAAAAGTTAAAAATAAAGAAATAACTATATAATTTCTGTAATACTTATAAAGTTTAGTAATTTTAACCTTATTTCAAATATTAGTGTGTATTTCTAAAACAAACAACATATTACTTATGCATACGCCAGGCAAAGTCCATATTTCGTTTCGTTGGCATGTGATCTGTTTGTTTCCTTCCACTTCGTAACCCTCTTCACAAGACAAGGTACACACACTATTATAACCACCTAGGCAAATACCCCACGTTCCCTTAGGTACGGTAGGTTTGTTACATTTTATTTCTGTAAATTTTGTAAAAAATTATAAAAATTCTACAAATTATTATGTAGACATGTTCCCATGCCTTGATATAAAAAAAATTCATTGCAAATTAAATAAATGTGATCCCCTATTTAAATACGTACTGATCTGTCTTCAAATACAGAAAATTTAATTTAACCTTCATTATCATTCCTTCACTTACCTTCCTCGCAATCTTTGCCTTTATATCCAGGGGTACAACCACCTGTACGGCAAACGCCTGTCGACGGCATACAGGAAGATTTAGAGTCTGTACATTGGCAGGTATGTTCACAGTTCAGGCCGTACTTTTGTCCACTACAAAAGTTATCTGGGAAATATAGTGATCGTAATACTACAGCGATATCCCACTGTAGTTTAAGCAGAATGTTATATATTATTTTTGGAACTTTTACTTGGTCTAATTTTCCTTTCTATCAAGGCCTTAGATATTTAACATATTTTTTCGTTAAAAATACCCTTAATGCTAAAGAGTTTGTTTATTGAAGCACATTTTAGTGCTTCGCAAGTATGTAATTTATGTATACTGAACACATTAGCTAAAGCTTAGCGAAACTCTTTTCGACAAGTTCACGCGATGCAAAAGCGTATTTAAAACATTAAATAGACTTTCAACAGACGTTTGAGGAGTAAATGGCCCTAGCTATCCGAGAGATTTTTTAAAAATTAAATTTCAACGGGTCAATTTTAGGTTTATAGACCAAAGGTACTCATAAAACTTAAAAATAAAAAAGTCGATATATGATGATTTTATTTGTATTTATTGTCATTTTGCTTATATAATGTTTAAATCAAAGTTTAATCTTCCATAAAGTCAACAAGATAATTTTGAATATAGATATATTTTGAATATAGAGTAAAGTTTTATAACTATTCAAATTTCAAAATATCATACACGTTAAAGAAAATACAAAATATTTTTATTTTGCAATGGATAGAAAAAACTAAATTTAAAGTTATTTTACCTTTATTGTCGAGTTAAAAATAGTTTAATAAAAAAGAGATCTAATGTGTTTTATTAGTTTTGTTATCATAGTTTATTTTCCAGTTTTATTAGGTTGAAAATTATTATTATGTTAATGAAATTGCATCATCGAATGTAAATATATTGGAATAAATTTTGCATGATTTATTAATCACACAAAATATATAAATCTATATAGTTTTTTAAATTCATAAAAATCGTTTTAATAACAAGCGTCTATGTAATAATGCACTAAATGAAGCAAATAAATTATTAATAAATAATAATACACTGCTATTACTGTAAAGAAAAGTGCGGGTCACTATATTATATATTATATGCATTTTATTTAAAAAGAAGTGTATTATTATATATTTAAAGAAAGACTTTTATGTTCTACTTTTAGTGAATTACTAGCCGTCCCGGCCAGGCCCTGCTCTGGCTTCTGTGAAAAACCTTTCTGTTAAAGACCATTACCTGTGTGTTTAGTAATCATCATAAACCCGGCATTGCCCACCCAAACCACAACCAACCAAAACAACAAAACGCAAACATAACGCTAACACAATTACAAATACAAACGAAAACAAAAACCTAACAACAAACCCAACCACAACCACAAACACCAATACAAACACAAAGAAAAAACAAACAAAAAAGCAAACGAAAACAAAAACCTAACAACAAACCCAACCACAAACACCAATACCAACAAAAAAAAAACGAAAAAGCAAACGAAAACAAACCAAATCCAAACGCAAAACCAACCAAAAACACAAATACAAACCCAAACAAAAAAACACAAACAAAAACGAAAAAAGAAAGAACAAAAACGAACCAAATCAAAACGCAACCACAAACGCAAACCCACCTAAACACAAAGAAAACACTAACGCGAACATAAACGCCCGGGGCGGAATCACCTGTTTTAGCTTAATGAACGACTATAGTACCCCAACTTATTCATAGTCTTTTGCACTCACTTAAACGAACGCGCCTGTTTCAAATTGATGAACAATTATAATACTCCAAGCTTATCCGTAAAATACCTACAACATTTGCACTTGATCAATCCCCGCTAATTATGTAATTATTTTTTTTTCCCAACACCAAAACAAAGTAATTAAAAAGTAAATTCTTTTCCACAAAATGCAATGGTTTTATAAAGGGAAGTAATTTTGTTTTCCTAATTTATCAAAGGGAAGTAAATGCTATAGGACTAAATAAAGACAATTAGAATTTTTGTAAAAGATGATATTTATTTAAAACTTGTGTTTAATGAACATGCCGAAAATAATTACTATAATTTGAAAAATGAAAATTATTTCCCAACACTTTCAATAGTAATTTTTTAGCTCATAAATTTAGACAAATGCGCACAATAATTTTCTAACACTTAAATTCATCCAAGACCAACGACAAACATATACATTACATACAGAACTGAGCTTTATATATTAGATTACATACAAGCTTGATATTAAAACGTTTCTTATTTTAAAAAATTCCGTACTTTAAATTTTTAAAAAAATTTACAATGACTAAAAACTTTTTTGCACCTAATGAACATGATACCGCGCGTATAATAGTGCGTAATAGTTAGATAAGCCTGCCTACTAATTTGGACACAGTTTAAATTAATTCATTAAAAAATTAACTAGGCATTCATTAATTTCAATTAAATGTCAGATTGCATTGTCTTCATGTCTTGAGCTATGTGCCAACTTTGCATGTAATCTGTCTGTAAGAAGTGCCAAAATTTTGCTCGAGCGTTTCTATCTATTACGACGGATAGATCATAGACAGACTGTCGACAGACTGACGACAGACAGAGAAAGGAATTTAAACAAAAAGCTTGTAAAAAAATATCCTAAATAG